GTGGGTTTTTTAGGTGATTTGTTGTAAGAGATAATAATAATAATGTTATTAACTAAAGTTTATGGAATAATTACCATGTATCAAATATCTTCTAATGTATTTTTATTATTTTTAAAAAATTTTAAATTGATACATCATAGTATCAGTTTGGGGGAGTACATGTGATTATTTAATACATTCAAATAATTTGTCAAGAACCAATCAGTAAAATTGAGATATTCATCGCCTTAAATATTTGTCCTTTTTCTGTTAGAAATTCAAATGATTCTCTTCTGGCTATTTTTAAATCACAACAGATTATTGAAAACTATAGTCACCCTACTCCTCTAATGTATTTTTAAATAATTATTTTATCTTCAATACTATCATATGAAGGAGGCAATACTGTTATCCCCCTTTTAGCGAACGTGGAAAACTAAAGCACAGAGAAGTTAAGTGACGTTTTTAGCTGCCAGGGTAGAGTTCAGTACGCAGCCAAGCATTCCAACCTCCATCTATGTGAAAAGGGAAAAACAGCCAGTTTAAATTCATTTCTGTTTTTCTAGCTCCAGGTGCATATTAAGAGGCATGCTGTAGTTATTAAAAGCCTCCCTGACTCTAATGGAAATACTCCAAAATTTCATAGATCAGCTGTGTAGGAATGAGAATCCAAATAGGAGGAAATATTCTGTAGTAAATATGAAGGTTTGCTGGGGTTTTTTGGGCAGGGAGGAGGTTGTTGTTTTAGTTATGGCAGCAAAAGCATTTGTTCCCATGACTTCAACCCTCTCTGGGTGTTATCCACATCAACTATCAAGTACTTTTCTTCTTTAGGTGCTTCTGGTGGATGGGAAAGGCGTGCCCATCCCCAATAAACTCATCTTCATCTCCGCGAATGAAGCCAACTATCACTTTAATACAACCACCAATGAGCAGGGTCTTGTACAGTTTTCAATCAATACTACTAATATCTTGGCTAATAATCTTTTTGTCACAGTAAGTATGGAAAGACAGACCTCTGAGGTCAAAAGGAAATATTAAGAACAGTGACATATTCAGAAGTGAAGAAACACACAGATTGCATTTAAGAGTAAGAAATAAGAACATAGCTAGCTTTGAGGTTATAAATTTGCAGATAATAGAATTTCATGAAAAATAATAAAGGCATTAGAAAAGACACTACAGGGGAGGCCGAGGCAGGCGGATCACAAGGTCGAGAGATCGAGATCATCCTGGCCAACATGGTGAAACCCCATCTCTACTAAAAGAAAACAAAAATTAGCTGGGCATAGTGGCGCGTGCCTGTAGTCCCAGCTACTTGGGAGGCTGAGGCAGGAGAATTGCTTGAACCCGGGAGGTGGAGGTTGCAGTGAGCCGAGATCACGCCACTGCACTCCAGCCTGGCGCCTGGCAACAGAGCGAGACTCTGTCTCAAAAAAAAAAAAAAAGAAGAAGAAAAAAAGAAAAGGCACTACAGAATTGCCTGATCTTTTCACTATCATTATCTGTAACATTTTATATATCATGAAAAAAAATCTTATTTGATTTGAGTCTTGAACAATATCAGCTGCTTCAGCAGTTCATGTAATTTGTTTTATAGTTTTTTCCATGTGTACTTAGATTTTGTAAAGTGATCACACACACACACACATACACACACACAATACACATTGTCTAATGATGATGATGGAAACATTTCTATAGCTAAAAAGTTTTCATGCTTGTTATCTCAGACAAAGAAGTGATAAAAGATCACAATTTATGGATTTCATGTAGATAAATAACATAAATTATTTCTGTTTCTTAGTGTTTATTTGTAAATTCAATTTAAAAATATGTAATGATGTTTAATGTTTTCTATGTGATAGACACTTGCTTTCCCTAGGATTTAAAAGGTGAATAAATAGTGTCCCTACACTTTAAAAGTTCCTATTTTCATAGTGTTAACAGATCTGTGAATTATTAGTGTGATGTGCTTACATGCAAAAGTTTTTTTTTTAAATAGGAACTTTATTATGAGAGCAAATAGAAGAGTCCATAACATATGCCTAATAAATTTAGGAAAAAATAAGTGCGCTCTGAAGAAAATCTAAGGAGCAGTTACCACAAGGGAATGGATAGAATCGTGTGCTAAACGATATATGCAAGGCTTAAAGTTTCAGAAACCACGTAGGTCTTAAAGGTTGGAAGTCACAATAATGATAAGAGGCATAAATGCTAATTTACTAAGGATTACTGTAAACAATTTTGAAGCCCTTAAGGTAATAGAATGTTATATTAATATAAAACCTAATTTTAATTAAGCCAATTTATGAGGTAATTCTAATACCTGAAAAATCCCATTTCCACTTGTTGGAGTTATTTATCATTCTCACTGGGACATCATTTTTCTTCTAGTTCTGAGGGGCAGAAGGAAAATGTCAAAGTAGTAATGAGTTAGCAGAATCAGGGCAAAAGAGAGAAATTTGTGGATGATTTCCTTTTATTTGAATGTTGGGAGACTGAAAATTCATTTATTTCACTGTCAACCAGTATGACGGAGAGCCGTAGTGTATTTTAAAGTGGAAGACAGTTTTGACTATTCATTTTGGCGAGAAGCTAAGGCGAAGAATTTCAAGACAATATTCTTACTTTGTTTTTGTGTTTGCCCAGGTTTCCAGTGAGCATCCCAGCTTTTGTTTTCCCTATTCATGGGTAGCAGAAGTCCACCAGCACGCTCAGCACACTGCAAGTCATGTTTTCTCCTTAAGTGGGAGTTACGTTGACCTGGAGTCTGTGGCTGGTCCTCTGCGCTGTGGCCACACACAGACCATCAGGGCACACTATATGCTGAAGAGACAGGCCGTGGGAGAGCTGTCGGAGTTCGGTTTCCATTACCTGGTAAGAATGAAGCCATGGAATACAATGGCAGCTTGTCAGTAGGCAAAAGTGGTCAGTAGGCTCAGGAATGTCAAAATAAACTACTTGCACACAGCCATGCTGCGTTCTTGTTGTGCGTCCTTCATTTCGTGAGTTTTCATGAGGTTGATTCTCTCCAGCAGAGACTTGACAACTGAAAGTGAGTCATTTTTTTGTTTTCAGGGAATATACTTGATTAATCTACCTCCCAAACAGTAAAATGCCAAAGGCTAGAATGCTAACATTCAGCTAAATTGTAACAACTATTTACAGAGCACTGTCTGTGAGCCACGTGGGGCTGGGCCCGGTTCTCCTCCACCCACCCACCCAGCCCCTCCTCCACCCACCCACCCAGCC